GGGCGCATGCGCAGTTTTGATTTTCAGCCGGGAGACGAGCAGAGACGCAAGATAAGCCTATGGACGCGTTCCCCCGCATGCAGACACCGCGGGATCGGAAGTGCCAGCAAGGACTGAGGAGTCAGCACTGGATCGGAGAGCAGCCGCACCGCTGGAGGGACAGATGAAAACATCAAGAAAGAAGAAGAAGATCGGTTTGAGAGACATCATTTAATGCAGGGGTGCCCATAAGGTCGATCGCGATGTCCTCTCCTCCCGCCCTTTACATATCAGTTATATGTACCGGTCCTCTGTGCAGGACAAACACTGGAGCGATCAGCTGATCACTCCAGTAATTGTAAATAACTGGGGACACATAGCACTATATGTCCCCAGTTATGAATGAACAGTATATGATTTTAAATATTTTCTGAATGAATGGGAAGCCTCTGTGCAGAAAAAGAGATTGAGGACTTTGTGTCCTCAATTTCTTTTTCTATTTTAAAAGGGAAATATCAGGAGGCTGTTTAGACCCCAGATATTTCAACATAGCCTCCCCAAGAGTTAAAAAAAAATGAAAATAAATAAATAATGAAATAAGAAATAATAACAATAAAATAAAAAAATAAAAGAAATCCTGGTGGCAGGGCGCTGGGTGACATCACACGCGTGTTGGGGGAGGGCGCAAAAGGAGCTGGCTACGGCTATACTCCCACGGTGCTCGTGCGGCTGTCGGCTGAATGTGTCAGAGGCTGCAGATGGAAAGGGGCAGGACACCTCTCGCCATGTGCAATGTCGGCCACACGAGCACCGCGGCCTCTAGGACGCACTGGAATGTAAGCCGGCCGACTCGTTCAGGGGCAGGAGGGGGTGTGGGGTTTTATTGAAGTCAATGGCACCGCAGCCATGCCCCCCACCCACAGTGTGATCGCCCGCACCCAGAATGCAGGTACATTAGTGCCTGCATTCCGGTCCAGTGCGATCTGCAAAAATAGTGCTTGCAGCATTTTTGCGGATTGCACTGGACTGGAACACAGGCACTAATGTGCCTGGGTTCTGGGTGCAGGCGATCGCACTGTGGGCGAGGGGCCTGCCCGCGGTGCCTGGCTGCGGTGCCATTGAAATCAATGCACCGCCACACCTCCTCCCGCCCCTGAATGCAGGTGTTTTTTCGTTGGTAGATCCCATTGAGCTCGTCATTTGAAAAGTAGATCTCCAGACGAAAAATTGTTTTAAGATAAGTGCTAACATTAACATTGAGGGGATGGAATTTTTTTTGACTTTAATGTCACTTTAAAGGAAAACCAATTATCGGCAATTTAAATGTCATTTTTGTCTTTAGAAATGTCAGTCTTGCTGCAGCAGGTTCTATGCATTGTACAGATCCGCCACTTCACAGGCAGTTTAAGGGGACCCCCCAGGCATAATACTTAAAGGATTTTTTTCATTTTTATTGTTTCACTTTAAGCAATGTTAAAATCACTGCTCCTTTAAAAACTGTATTTTTTAAAAGTGTTTTTTTGCATTAATACCTGTCCCCCAGGGTGGTACCCACATCCACATACACTTTTTTATGTTCAATAACTTGCATACAAACCTTCAAAATAGGGATTTTCCTAGTTCTGGTCGCATAGAATTTCATTGAGTTCCAGTTAGAACTTTTTCTATGTTCTAAAGTTCAGCCCATCACTATAGATCACAGATTCAGCAATAGCATGCAGTGCCAAGCAGCAGCCAGCAAAACAAGCAGAATATTATCCTGTATTAAAAGAGGGATTTTGGCAAGGGATAAAAACAAAATGTTACCACTTTCTAAATCACTGGTTCAGCTTCACCTTGAGTATGCGGTTCAGTTTTGGTCACCAACCCTCCGGAAAGACGTCCTCGAACTTGAGAGAGTTCAGCGAAGGACAACCAAATTAATAAAGGGGATGGAGGGTCTGAGCTATGAAGATCACCTCCAGAAATTAAACTTGTTCTCCTTAGAAAAGGCACTTAAGAGGGGGCCTAATTGCAATGTTCAAAATCACTAATGGGGACCACAATATCTGGAATAAGATGTTTACCCCAAGAACTGTATTGGTGACACAAGGACACAACAAGAGGTTAGCAGAGAGGTGGTTTAATCTTAGACTGCATAAGGGGTTTTCTACTGTGCGAGTAGTAAAAATGGGGAATTCTCTTCCACAGTCAGTGGTATCCGCTGATAGCATTGATAAATTCAAGAAACTTTTAGATGAGTTTCTTAATTCACTAAATATATCAGGATATGGGAACTGCTAGAACCAAGTAAGTATAGAGACACACACGTATACACACAAACACACACACACACACATACACTCACTCACTCACTCACTCACTCACTCACTCACTCACTCACTCACACACACAAGCACACACACATAGGTTGAACTAGATGGACTTGTGTCTTTATTCAACCTTACCTACTATGTTACTATGGTACTACGTTACTAAAGTAAAGCTAGGCATACATCGGCATACACTGACCTTCCTATGTAGCACTGGGACTCACCGCTGGTTTTCACGTCACTTGTGGCATGTGGCAAATGTATGATTTAGACTGAAAAAAAAGCTTTTTTTGAGCAATAAGAAATTATAACAACCAGTGGCGTCACTAGGGTGGTTCTGGGGGTGCGGGCTGCAACCGGTTGACACCATTGGAAGGGTGACACCAAAATTACTGACAGTTATTTTGGTGTCACCCCCTCTAAAAACTCAGGCACTCAGTCATGGACCAAGAGCTTGACAGTTGCATGAGAGAGGAGGGGACCCAGCGGTATACTTTATTCCGCCGGCTAACAGCTAGTGAGTGAAGGCCCATATAGCCTTTGAGTCCAGGAACTGGTATTGAGCAGGAAACAGATGAAGGTAATCCCAGCAACAAAAAAAAGGTAAAAGAGGCAGAAATCGGACTACAGCCATAGCAGGTAGGTAGGTCAGTCAAATGGAAACTAGTCTTCAGATGTTAGAGTTAGTGGTAGAGGAACCTTAGAAGCACCTGGCTTCACCCAGAACCACTAAAGAAGTACAAAGAATTTCTTCCAGAATGCACCGCCATGGTTTACTCAACCGGGAACAAGCAGAAGTAAATTTACACAACCCAGAAGTGGGCAGAAGCTTGAGTGGTGAACCCACATTTAGGAGATAAGGTCAGAATCAAGCAAGGAGTCAAAATTGAGCGTCATCAGCGTACTGAAGATGGTGGTAAGCCATGGTAGAGTATCAGTGCATGAAGTAACTGGTCCAATTTGCTAAGAGTCAAAGGTAGAGGTTTCAGGCCAGAGGCCGAATGCATAAGCGGCGTCTAGGCAGCTGAACACTGAATATGAAACACTGAATTATTTGCACTTCCATAAACGGATTGCAGGTTTACTTTAGCTGTTAGGAAAGAAGGAAGGGTTCTTGTTAGAATACACATTATTGTATCTATAGCAACAACTTCTGCAGTATACAATTTCAGTCAGTAGATGGCAGTGTTTATAAGTTCTGTTATATATCTTTGGTAGATACGCTGTTGTATTGAATAAGGTAGAGAATAAAGCTGTGGCTTCCTTTCTGTTTTTAAGCCATGTGTAGCATGCATATCAGATTGTGTGCTTGTGTTTCTCTGTGCAAGAAGTTCCAACAGTTCTGCCATCACTGACCCAGAACAAATGAGCAAAATTCCTTTTCTCTATAACATTTCCAGGTCATTGACAATACAGAAAGTACTGACCCCAGCACAGCAGCATAACAGCCAGGGGACTAACAATTTCACATAGAAGGTAGCCATGGCAGCTCTCCCATGTCTCCTATAAAAGGTTTACAAAGGGAATCACAGAAACCTGTATTCTTTTCACATTTTTGGCAGCAATTCCTAACTACTCAACAGTTTTAATGCAATCAGAGTCTCTTATGGTAACATAGCTCAAAAGAAACACACACTAATGTATGGAACTCACACACACAAGAACCCATGTGTGCTGAAATGTTCACAATATACTATAAACCAGCTTCATTAAAATGCTTTTCATAGTGTAATGTGGATGTCCTGACTTGGAGCCAAGTCTAGAATAACTTGCAGGTGATTTATCATGCAATTATTGTATGTCAGCATCTTGTTACCCTGTCACTTATTATTTTTGCTATTTTATCCTATTTTTTTATAGGATTAGTAACTGTATTTAGTTTTCAACTGTTAACACTGAGAAACAAAATGTAACTGGCAGTTGAAACTTCAGATGACAGAATAGGTTGGTGTCAGTGAGGCACACAGCTGGCATGAACAACGGACTGCCACTCTCATCGTCTCCCTACAGTGAACGCCAAAACAGCAGAGTGGGTGGGGAGGGGGTGGTTGAGGCTGCATTTTAGGAAAGCCTAAACATCACTGCTCCAGCCCATGAAACTCCCCCTGGCTCACACACAGCCTCTCACAAAACTCTTACATAAAACACAAGCCAGACTCAGCCACATACACTATACACTGTGCAATAGGATCCTGGCCATCCCTGCCTGTCTCCAATGCAGAAAGAGCACAGCTGCACTCAGCATCCTGGTACTCTGCTGTATTCCATCAACCTGGCTGGCGGGGTATAGAAGATTGAGTGCCCACAGGAGTGAGAGCCAGCCTGCTTGGTAGAGGGGACAGAGATCAATGCCCATATAGCTCCAGCCTGCAAGGTAGAGAAGAAAGGGCTAAGTGCCCACAAAGGAGTGAGCATCAGCCTGCAGGATAAAGAATATAGAGCTCAGAACCCAGCTGACATCCACCTGCAGGGTAGAGGGGATAGAGCTTAGTACCCAGCTGAGATACAGCCTGCAGGGTAGAAGGGATAGTCCTCAGTACCCCCTAGGGTAGTGTGCTACAGCCTGCAGGGTACAAAGGTGACCTTTTACTACCCATGTAGTGGTGAACTCCAACTTGCAGAGTAGAGAGGATAGCCCTCAGTGCCCATAGAGTGGTGAACTCCAGCCTGCAGTATAGAGAGGATAGCCCTCATTACCTATACAGTGGTGAGCTCCAGTCTGCAAAGTAGAGAGGATAGCCTTCAGTGCCCAGTGTGATCCAGTCTGCCCATCTGTGCCCACCATGAAGGGGTCTCCCTGCTGCCCAGCAATGCTCATCCTGATTTTCCATTCCCTCCTCCTCCTCCGTGGCTCCTCAGCCTGCCCATCCCGCTGTGATGTCACCAGGTGCCCGAGCCCCGTCTGCCCCAGCGGGTACATCCCTGACCGCTGCAACTGCTGCCTGATCTGTGCCGCAGGGGAAGGAGAGTCCTGTGGTCGGGAAGGGGATCCCCCTTGTGGAGATACTTTACACTGCAAGACACCGACTGGCAAGAGAGGTACCAAGGGCACATGCCAGTGCAAGCATGACTACCAGGTGTGTGCCAACGATGGCCAGACCTATGACAACCTGTGCCAACTGAAGCTGGCAAGTCGGAGAGCACTGCAGCAAGGACACCCCCCAGTGGTGCAGGTGCACAAGGGAGCTTGTCAATCGGGTAAGGAGCGCCATGACATGTGGGGTGACTCTATGGGAAAAATATATTGTGGAGTACTGGTGCTGATGGGTAAGACTGGGTGTGTAAAACTGCAAGTCTCAGCATACCTTGGCTGGCTTATGTTCTTTCTGAATTAAAGAGCTGCCCAAGCTCTGGGAATCCAGTTCATGCATGGGTACCATTATTATCATTTAATTGTATTTAAAGCATATAACATTGAGGATATATTTGATTGCACTGAATTATGATATATATTCATTCTATCTATATCACATTTGACTGAAGTATGAAGTATTGTTTAAAGTCCATCTAAAGACAGAACTTTTATTTTATTTTTAGTTATAGATAGGGTAGGAAGGTTTGGAAAATGTGTGCCCAGGAAGATTCACCCTCTTTATTTTTTCCAAGCAACAATTGCCCTTTTTTGGGTTGTCACTAGAACTGGAAATGTTCCAATGGGGACACATGTTTTAGTGACAACTGAAGACAGATTTCATCAAGCAACCTGTTGATGCTGATATGTTTTTATTTTGTTACTACTTCCGCATATTCGTGGAAGGGGAGGAGAGAGTTAGTAGTTGTAAATGTGTGTGTGAATGGTACTATATGTGTTCCCATGACAGTGCATGGTTCTATTCCTCGCACTTTATTTCGGGCCCCGGGGTCTGTGTTCCTGCTGTTTAATGTTTAAAATGTGCAAAAAAAGGAAAAATAATTACCTTTCTAAAAAGAAGCACCCTGTTGTGTCTACGGGGCATTAAATAATGGGAAATCTCCCCAGTGGGACACAGGTGATAACCCCCCGATAGTCAACCCTTACCTATTCTTCTTCTACTCTTCCCAAAACTAAAAAGAAAAAATTAGATTTTGGATATACTTTAAAGAGCAACTGAAGCCAATTTTTTTTTTAGTTTTGGATAGAGTGGAGAGGGATTAGGACACATCAGGTTTTTATTGACGTGTGGTGTGCATGGTGCACGCACGCTGCAATGCATAGCTAAAAAAAGCAAAATGTCCTGTTTTTTTCTGCCCACACCAACACAGCATGTTGGTGTGAACTGAAGGAATAGGACATAAGGTAGTATGGGACATCTGTGCATTGGGACTGTGTTTTCAAATGAGCCCTTAGCCCCCATTCACTTAAAGGGTTTCCAGAGGCCCTTCATGCTTGACACTCAGATTTCCATGTTATTCTATTGTGTCCATTCACATCTGATTGATGCGCCGAAGACATACAGGAGCTACTTTGAGGCGTGATCACACATTGTAGGCCCCCATAGACTTCAATGGAAGCACCTAAAAAATGCTTAGAAAATGCCTTGTGTGATTCCACATCTAGCAACTGTCTCGTCCTCTAAGGAAGTACACTGCCTGGCCAAAAAAAAGTTACACACTCTTATATGTCATTGGGCCTCCTTTAGCTATGTTTACTGTACGCAATTCGCTGTGACATCATATTGGTAAGCTTATGCAATGTCACAACATTTATATCCGCCCAGAGTTGCATTAATTTTTCACCAAGATCTTGTAGTGATGATGGGAGAGTCGGACCACTGAGTAATGTCTTCTCCAGCACATCCCAAATATTCTAAATGGAGTAAGGTTTTTGAAAATGATGTCTCATGCTCCCTGAACAAGTCTTTCACAATCTGAATCCTGGCATTGTCATCTTGGAATATGCCCATGCCAACAGGGAAGAAAAAACCCATTGATGGAAAAACCTGGTCATTCAGTATATTCAGGTAGGCAGCTGACCTCATTTTTGGGCACACAACATTGCTGAACCTAGACCTAACCAACTGAAGCAACCCCAGATCACAACAATTATCCAAAGGGAGGTACTTATTTTTCTTAGCTAAATCCAGGTGGTGACTTTTTTGGGCCAGGCAGTGTAGCTTTCCATTGGCTGAAACAAAAATGTTGAGCCTGAACACGCACACAAAATGCAAAACAAACATGCTTAAAAACGCACAAATAATGACCAAAGAAGCCAACACTGAAGTGTGAATGTAAATAAGTAAATTTCCGCTTCCTGTTTTATCTTCGTTATGTCAAGGAAAATTACACCTGCATGGCTCAATCAGACAAACAAAATTACTGAGCGGGGTTTGAACCATTCTTCCCTACAAGCAATGCGCAGTAAGTTACAAATTGGAAATCGCTTGTTCCGTGTCCTAATCTGACACTGTAAAATGAGGTTTATGGTTGCAATGGCTTTCTGCAAATGGTCGCTCGGTGCCCATCGCAATACCTGTGCACCAACTCCGAATGACTGATCTGTAGAAAAACATTTATATGGTCCTGATATAATGGAGCAAAGTTAATCTAGAGCAGTTGCCCATGGAAACCATTCAGCTTCTTTCTTTTGTTTTCAAAGCTTAATTGAATATATGAAAGAGAGAAGCTGATTGGTTGCCATGAGTAACTGCTCCAGATTCTGCCTGCTCCAGTTTTGATAGTCTTTCTCTGATACTTTGTTATGTTGTACAATAGGAGGCACGTTATTATTACTACATGGGAGAGTGCTTTATAATACAGTGAGGACTGTAATAATAAAAGCCCTTTCTCAAGGCACTCTGCCAGCTGTCTTTGAGAATTTGTGTCTGGCGAGTGCAAACATTTCCTCATTTGTAAAAGAACATTTGATAATATCAATGCCGGCACTCCGGGAAGGGTAAACAGGCTGGTAATTACTATTGTTGACTACGTAAGCAATTAATGTTATTAATGCTCAGACGGCATTAGGAGCAATCACAATACATGCCAGCAAAACAAATGTACATAAAACAACTTTCTTTATATGATGGGAAGACTTAGAAAACACTCTCCGCTCTACAACGGGAATAGATTACTGAGAAGATGCCGTTGGTAAAACAAATGCTGGCGGGTTATTGACATTGTGGACTCCAGCTATTCGTTTATGTTCAAAGACTGCCCCAAGATGGCCAGCCCTATTGTACACTGTCGGTAGAGCATTCCTGGTTGCAAAAAGCCCGGGCAGGGAGATGTGTATGGGAGAGGGATGGGGAGAGAAAAAAAGTCAGATGTCCATGGGCACACTTTCACTGACCCATGGAGCTGGTCAACATATGCCATATGTGCCATACCCTGGATATGTCACTGATGGTCAGGAAGGTAAACTTAGCCTGTAAGTCTTCCCCAGTTTATACAGAAGTACAGGGTGCACCATGATTTGTATAACTCAGGTCCAAGTAATCAGGAATGCTACTGGTAATACATAAAAGCAAGGTGTTTTCCTTTAAGACTGAAAAGTACTATTGGCTATTGCAAATTGAAATAGCCAATAGTAATGTCCCAATGCTTTTCAATGGGAAATTTCTCTATTCTGACATCGCTCCGTGTCAGAATAAAGAAAAAAAAAGACACAGTGGGGTTTCTCTCCTGGGCAGCCGGACGCGGGAGGCTCCCAGAGTGCCCGGGAGATTCTGTTCGGCTCACTTCACTTCTGATCGGTCATTCACTTGGCTGCCCTCGGCAGCTTAGTGAATAGACCCCTAAGTGTCAAACGTTTTACTACTATAACTGTGTCCATTGTGTGTTCTGTGCTGCATTCATCGTAGCGCCGTGCCTTCTGTGCTGGGTGAGGCATCCCCCAGCCCGCGGAAGCTCTGCCCCACCCCGATGAAGCCTCACCCCCATCCCGCCAAAGTCCCATCCCCATCCAGCCGAAGTCCCGCCCCAGCTCGATAACCAAGCTGTGTGGGGAGGAGGAAGGGAGAAGACAGGAAGGAGCCTCCCGGTCCCTCACTTGCTGGTCACTGGTGAGTCATTGCTGAGGCATCGAGATCGATGACCTCAGTGGGGTTTTTTTTTCTTCATAATACTAGGTGAGGCTCTGCCGCACCTGCCACCCCAGACCGCACGTCCCTGATTCATTGTATCTGCCATTACCCATTTGACCATTGCAAGCACAGGTGGTCACTCATCACTCATTGTAATATGTCATGTATGACACCCCTAGGACTGAGATGACCTACACAAGTTCACTGCATTTATGTGAAAATTATATGGACTCACCAAAATAAAAAATAAATTCCCAGGGCTGAGGGGTAGGCAGAAGAGTTGACATCCTTGGGTGCTATATCAGAAGGAGGCACAAAAAGGCAAGACCTAAATCCAATGCTGCTAAAGTAGTTCATTGGGGAGGGGGGCGCATGTTGGCTAATTCACCTTGGGTGCTAAAGGACCTTGTCCTGGCTCTGCATGGCATCATCACGAAGAACCCTTATCCTACAGCTTCCTAAAAAAAATGAGTACAACACAGTTTTGTATTCTTCCAGCTCTCTGGATTTAGTTGCATAACATCTCATAACTGCAGAGGAAGTCAATGGTGGAAAACTGCAGGTCTGAACAGGGTTAAAATAGCTATATAATGCCCAGGTGTTGTCACTGACTGCGGGTCACTCTGTGACAGGTCTGAAGGAGAAGTATCTCCACCAACCCAACATATGTCATTTATACTGTTCTGGGAGAAAAAATGTCCCTCTCCTCCCAGCCCAGTTCTTCCCTGGCAGCAGATGTGTCTTCAAGTCCAACAAATTCAGAAAAATATGTGCTTTGTGTATAAAGTTGCATCAAAATTCAATTGCACCTACCCTCAAAAGGATTGCTAGGACATTTTTACCATGTGCTGTTTCAGTGCACATCTCCTAATATGTTATAATTCTTGGGATATTTCAGTTTATATTATTAGAACAGCAGCAGAGGACTGCGGTCAGGTGTCATAAGGAAACATAACCAAACGGTGTTGTTTTTTCTTGATGATCCTTGACTTCTGCATAATCATTCTTTTTCTGAAATGTAACTGTGCAAGATGTCAGAGATCTTTTCCACTTCCAGTCTATATGTTGGAAACCACCTCTACTCAGTGAACGTTCAGTGGTTTTCCACGGCTGGGCAATGTCATAGTAGAAGGGTCATAGTGAACAATATTTTGGAGGATGTACAAGCCTTGTGTTCCCCACAGGCCAAATCAGATT